TCATGCGCGCAAGAGCAAGCCCGCACTTCATCAGCATCTCTCCCGGGCCTAGGGCGCCAAACATACTCAATCAACAAACTTCTAACTGCATTTTCCCTCTTGGGTCTCCCCAAAGTGAAAATGAACTCTTCGCGAAAGTCACTGTGGTAGAACCCTGCCACTGCTGCCAGATCTAAAAGCTGCTCATCCTCTATCTCAGTACCACCAGCAAACGCCCACATCTAAATCCACCAATAACCACCAGACAGCAAGTGTTTTTTTTTAAAAAAAGCCGGAGAGCCCACGGTTTCCCGGCCTTCTGAAGTTTGCAAAGGCCTCCGCCGCCCCCACCGTCCTCCTCCTTCTCTCATCGAAGCGTGCATTGAGCCTACTGCCATCTGGCCGACACCAGTGCCTAGGCCCCGGGGGGATCATGGCGCGCGAGCAAATCGCCGCACTCATCAGCAGCTCTCCCGGGCCTAGGGCGACAAAACGTACTCAATCAAACAAACCTACAAGACTGCATTTTCCCTCTTGGGTCTCCTCCAAAGTGAACATGCGTTATAATCCCACAAATATGTAAATCATTGGCACAAAAAATCATTTTAACACATCTGTTGTTCAGTTAGGGACTAACACACATGTCTGATTACAACGACAACTGCTGTGTTGGTTGTATTTAACATCATTAGTATTTTGTGTTAATATGATCTGTGTATGAGCTTGAACCAATTGTTGAGCACTGCTTGTCCAAGCTCAGCTCTGATGGCACTAACACCCCACAGATACTCTGGTCCTGGGAATTAAGAACCACTGTTCACCTACGGCACAAGACCAGGCATGCGCCAAGAGCACAGGCCATTGATTTGAAAAGACAGGAGACCATCTGACATGGTCCGGCCAATCAGGATATTCAAATGTAGAGGACAAATTTGCCCTGCGGAATCAACAAAATACCTAAAAATATAAGCGGTGTCAGGGCCAAAGCTGAACTCTGTGGGGAGAATAAGGCTAAAAAACTGGTAACTATAGTTGAATCAGTGACGTGCCGTGGCATTTCAGACCTTGCCTGCAGTGATGTACCTAAAACCCAGCTACTCCAACATTTTAGTGCCACAGAACACACAAACCACACACACACTGTGTGCCTCCAGTGTTGTAAAATGACAGGAGGCACGACGCTGTAGTCAGTATACACACATGACGCCACTCGTTCACAGTAAATGTAAACTTTCTCTTCTCCCTGACAGTATCTGAGAACATGACCGAGTGCAACACGAGGGTTCAGGGACCCAGTTTTGAGCATTAAAAGTGGGAAAGTCCAAATACAATATCAGTATTGGATGGAGCTTTAAAATTCTGTTTTTCTACCCCGTGGTGAGGCAGGACCGCCGCGGCCGCTGTGGTCTTCTGCATGCCTAGCTCCGCAGTTAGCTTATAGACAAACTTATTCCCAGAGGGCAATATCCTGGCTCTTCTGCTGTCCTGGCCTCTCCCAGTCACGTCTGTCTCGTTTCTTCTTGAGAAAGGCGTTCTATTTAGTTACCAGACCGAGCACAATATATTCACATTCTTCAGCTGTAGAGGGTTGAAAAACCGATTACTAGTTGGGGGGGGTTGTGCACCACATATTTAGCATTTCTGTTTGTTTGTGTTTCTCACATTAATGTGTCTCACTTCATGGGCTGCACCAAGAATATTCATTGAGGGTCTTGTGTATCCAATGAGGAACACACGCTTCCCCGGGGTCTGCTCGCAGGCCTGAACTAGGAGACTTGACACTGATTGGTTAATTCAGTGGTTCGTTTTCATTGCCATTTTCAAGCTAGCGCTGGCCAGCAATGTAGACTCGAAGGCCTAGAGGCAGAATTCTGGACATAGCAACACATGACGCTTGAGCAAGATGGATAAAGAACTCTGTTAGAACCCAGACCTCCAAATGTTGACCTGAAGTTGGATAGCTGCTCAACCAACGTAGTTGTGGAAAAATAAACATAGAAAAAGAAATTATAATTAGAAAAATTATACATCATATATATTATACAATATATATATATATATGAAAATCATGTTTAGGGCCAGCGGAGAAGGTATGCGGGCCGCCACTACGTTGAACGTTGAAGGGTATCAAATGGAGAGTTGATGTTGTGGGCTGAGTGATTTGCCTAGAGAGAGCAAAGAGTGAATGAGTCCGAGTTGTGGCTGTAAAAAACAATTTACAAGTCCTTATGAGTTTAAGGGGGACAATAATAATAATATACTATTGAGATTAGGCAGTGTGAGGACAATTCTTGAAGTTCAAAGTAAGAGTGGACCTCTAAGTGCAGTGGTTCCCAAAGTGGGGTTCTGAATCCCGGGGCGTCGCCAGATGCCGGCCGGAGTGGGACAATTTTGGCCCCGGGAATTTTGGGTCAGACCCGGCCCTTCTGATAAATCGTCTATCAAATAACTGAACTGCCTAGCTGTTTTTAAAGATCCATAACACCCAGCATGGCCTATAAATCAAGTTTTGTTAATTACTAGAATAGTAACTATTTCAAATTTATTCTTGTTAAACCCTTTGAGCCGTGTTCAGACCGCTCGCGATGAGGCGAAAAAAATCGCACAAACGCCAGGCGTTTTTTCGCTTGAATATTTGAATGACACTCTCGCTTCTATCAAGCAGGGCGATTTACTCGCTCGTTCGCCTGAGGATTTTCGACTTGATTTACCGCCTCGCCGCGTCATCCAAAAGAGGTAGCTTATGGCCAGTACCGGTTCCGGTTGTTGTTCAACTCAGCATCGGGCGGCTTTGGATTTTCTGGAAACGAGTCACTATACTCTAATTTAAATGTGGAAAACAGAACACGGCGGCAGCGACGCCGTCTCTGGGTCCACGATATCCCTCCAGAGACGCTCCCAATATGGGGAGTACCAACCATCTGCTCCAGGTGCTGCGCCTGGATGACCGTTCCCGATTCCAGCGGTATTTCCGTGTGTCCAGACCCAGTTTGAGACCTGCTTGTCCGCGTTGGGGCTCGGATCACCGTCCGGGAGACCATACTAACAGCGCTCTAGTCTCCCCTGCATAGCGCTGTCCACTGTCTTCGTTTAGTAAATCAACGCGGTTCTCAATAAATAAGATTCCAAATGTTAGAATCCAAGTACTTTACAGTACAGCCCTTGTGCCAACTGTTTAGCTTTTAGGATTTATGCCAAACTAATCAGTGTAGTTATGCAAACTAGACACATAAGCTCGTTTCAGGTGGGGGTTAGATACTTAAATAGACCATTTGGTTAGATAACTAAATGTTGCAACCGACGGTGATTAAGAAAATTGCAATAAACAGCCAAATAGCGCTATCTAGTGTTTCTTGTGTAGTACCACATTACCTGGGTTTGCAGAAGGGCCTTAATTATGATATTGCATTAGTAATGGTTGATAAAATCATTTTAAATACTTTATTTAAAGTAAATTTACAAGTAAGTAGTATAACTTGGCAACCAAAATCAATATCCTTTAGTAGAGTTAATAATTTTGCCCTGTGTTTTTCTTTTTTTATAGATCATCTTGCCACTGGGGACTCCTACAGGACTATCGCATACAGTTTCCGGGTAGGTGTCTCCACTGTCAGCGGCATTGTCCCTCAGGTGGTGGCTGCTATCTGGCACTGTCTTGTGGAGGAGTTTATGGCTGTGCCCTCCACTGAAGACTGGCTGTCCATCGCTGCAGAGTTCCAAGACCGATGGAACTTCCCTCTGTGCTGTGGAGCAGTGGACGGCCAAGCACGTCCGGATTGCAGCGCCCCCCAACTCAGGATCCCAGTTCTTCAACTACCAGGGGGATTTCTCTATTGTCCTCCTGGCTGTTGTGGACGCTCGGTACCGGTTCCGGGTGATCGATGTTGGGGGGTATGGGGAGGACCAGTGATGGCGGCATTCTGTCCAATTCAGCTTTTGGTCAGGGTCTGCGGGCTGGCACACTCCATCTGCCTGCTGACCAACACCTGCCTGATGCTGAGCACAGAGGACCTCAGCCTCATGTATTTGTGGCTGATGAGGCGTTTCCCGCTGAGGAGGAACATGATGCGACCTTTCCCTGGACGCGGACGTGGTGGCCTTCCCCCGGAGGAACGCGTCTTTAATTACCGCCTCTCCCGGGCCCGCCTTGTTGTGGGAGGACGCCTTTGGCATCCTGACCGCACAGTGGAGGTGGTACCGACGCATCATTGAGGTGCGTCCTGAAGTGGTGGAGCAGTGTGTGAAGGCGACATGTGTGCTTCACAATTTCATGCGGGCTTCTGTGGGAGCTGAGGCACCTGCTGTGAGGGGTGCAGCAGCAGAAGAGGTACCACTGCAAGGTTTGGGCCGGGTAGCTGCCAACAACTCTTCCACAGAGGCAAGACGCGTGAGGGATGCTTTCAAAGAGTACTTCATGGGCAGAGGGAGCAGTATCATGGCAGCCCACAGAATGATTTCCACCAGTCCTTCTCAGGACTAACAACGGCTTTTTTAAAAGCCACCCACAAACATAAAGAGCTTATTTCAAAACTTCAGCCCTATTGTACATTCTACTGTTTTAATGTAACTATATTGCAACAAAATGAACTGTGGACTGTATTTTTTGTTATGTTTTTCTTTGTGTTTGCAGGGACTTCATCCAAACTCAAACGCACATTCTGTGAATTAAAGCTCATGTTATGTCCCAACTGATTTTACCTCCAAGGCAGCTGCAGTTCATCATCCATCACATCATTCCTCTCCAATCAGTGAGTTATTCAATTAATACCTATAAATGCTGTGGATTTAATACAATCGCTTATGAATGTTTGTCTTTTTGTCATTATTTCTTTTTGCAGTTATTCGACAGGACATGAACTCAAGTGGACATTCTGGAAAAAGATAAACACCTGATTTTGAATAGAAAAGGAGGATCTTATGATATCTGTCCCTTTGTTAATGTTGTGGGTTTTTTTTTTGTGTGTGTATGCAATATTTTTTTAAGCGACTTTCATGTCCCTCCAACTCAATTCCCCGGTTACTTAGGTGTGGCCCCTCTGAAAATTACAAGCACACCCTGGTTTAAAATATGTTAAACTATTCATGGTCCTCTTCAGGGGGAGGGATCATTTTGTATATGCTGGGATGGTTTTACTACAATGTCTTGAGACAAGCCCCAAAGGAAAACCTTGTATTTCAGTCTGCCACAATAAATTACAACCAATGCATAAATGTACCTGGTTTGCAGATGCATGATTGAGTCATATTGTGATATTACAATGAATGTATGAATATATTAGATATAAAATGTTTGCATGCAAGAAGACAAGTAGAATGACATTTTCTAGATTTATTTATAAAAAATAAAATAAAAATACAAAAATAAATAATATTGCGGCCTGACTTGTATGTCGAGAGACAGGGATAGAAAGGAACACTTCAACAATGAACAACTAGGAGAGGAGGAAGGAGAACTGGTGTTGCCTTCCCTGGAGAAACTGCCAACATCTATAAACTTTTATTTAAAATCTATTGGGCCGAATGTTCCAAATTGAGCACAACAGTGCAATTGTCAAATATGAACTTTATTTATTTTTGTTTTTATGACCTCTAGGTCATAGAAGGGACAGTCTCTCCAGGGAAGGAGCAAGACTAGGAGGTAATACTCTATGTGGCTAAACTCCCGGGTGGCCGTTGGTGGAGGGACAGGGCGCTCTTTCAGGGCGAATAAAATGGCCTGCTCCACCGCCGTTGGCTCTGCCCGGGTTGTGGCCGCCTCCTTTTTCCTGAAAAAAACAAAACAGTAACTAATTAAATTGGAACAAGACTTCAATGTCAAAATACTCACACACATATATATATATAGATACAGTATAATACAATATCATGTGTTGGTGTGTTAATGTATAGCCTATTGCATGTGTGTTTTTTTTTTTGGTACTGTAACCTGTACACACCTATGGGAGTGGGTGTTGGTGCAGCAGCAGCAGGGGTTGAAGGACCAGGGACCTCCTGGATGGGACGCACCGCCCCTGCTGCTGACCCACCACTCCTCCTGTCCAACTCCTTCCTCCTCTCCTTCAGATATGTGTCCCGCAGACCTTTCCATTTTTTCTTGCACGCACTCTCTCTGAAAATGTATAGGATATAAATATAAATTGGCTTATGTTTGTGATTTATCTTCCACTTTTGACTGTGATGCTTCTCCCCAATTAAACGAGTACAAATTAAATTTGCATTAAAACGTGACATGCTCATTTCAATACTGCACATAATACAATATAAAACATTTGCATGTCCAAAAGTAACTTAATTTAGAGAATACGAAACGAAATAAGACACTCGTAAATAGCGACACATTTTGCGCGGGATACTAGCGCTACGCTAGTAGAGTGAAAATTATATATATAAAAATAAAAAAAAATTACCTGGCACCCCCGTCTCCTCGCTGACCCTTCTCCACGCTAGCTCCTTTCTATCCCTGTCTCTGTAGTGATAGTTGCTGGTGTCATACAACTCGGGCCGCTGGCACACAGCTACGATCAGTGAGTCCTCCATGTTGAATGAAAAGATGCTTCGTCTCCGCCGCGGTTCAATGCTACGTCACTGCTCGATTCAGTCCCTGATTGGTCAACGCCCCGCGAATTGACCAAAAAGTTCAGATTTTTCAACTCGAGCGAGTAGGGCGGTGGAGGCGAAATGGCTCTAGGCGCGCGTCAAACGCCCCTTTCGCCACTTTCGTTCCGCTCTTTTCGTTCAAAACGCCCTGTTCGCCTCGCTCTACTCTCGTCATTCGCACCGCCGGCCTGTCATTCGCTCCTGAGCGCACCCGGCCATAGACATAACATGTAAATCACTCGCCCCTGACTCCTCCATCGCGATCGGTCTGAACACGGCATTAGACTTCTCAGTGCTAGTCACAAAATACCTCAATATTGCACAGTACGTGCGGCTGCGCAGCTGTGAGTCTGAGGTGGTCGTCTGCAGCACTGGGGTCCCTCAGGGCACTGTCCTCTCACCGTTTCTCTTCACCATCTACACCTCAGACTTCACACACGACACACACAGCTGTCACCTGCAGAAGTTCTCCGACGACTCCGCCATCGTGGGCTGTGTGTCTGAGGGGAACGAACTGGAATATCGGTCGGTTATCAAGGACTTTGTCGACTGGTGTGAGCGCAACCACTTGTGCTTGAACACCAGTAAGACCAAGGAGATGGTCATCGACTTCAGGAGAAAACCACTTTCCCACACGCTGCTGAACATCCAGGGGGAGGACATTGAGCTGGTGGAGAGCTTCAAGTACCTGGGTGTTCACATTAACAATAAACTGGACTGGTCCCATAATACAAACGCCCTGCACAAGAAGGGCCAAAGTCGCCTCTTCCTTCTGAGGAGGCTGAGGTCCTTCGGAGTGAGCAGGCCTCTGCTCAGGACTTTTTATGACTCTGTGGTAGCTTCTGCCATTTACTACGCTGCCGTGTGCTGGGCCCCGGGCAGCACAGAGCGGGACAGAAACAGACTGAACAAGCTGGTCAGGAGGGCCAGCTCCACTCTGGGCTGCTCCCTGGACTCTGTGGAGGAGGTGAGGGACAGGAGGGTGCTAGCCAAAGCCACCTCCATCATGAACAATACCTCCCACCCACTGCACAGGACTGTAGAGGAGCTGAGGAGCTCCTTCAGTGGAAGACTGAGGCACCCTCAGTGTAGGAAGGAGCGCTACCGCAGGGCCTTTATCCCCACCGCTGTCAGACTGTACAATAAGTCACTTTAAATGATCACTGTGTGAAAACCTGCACTACTATTGACACTGTTTCCAATTGACACTTGTCACTTTTGTTGTACATAATTATTGTCACTTTATTGTACATATATCCTGCATGTAACATGTTTGCACATTTCCTCCCTTTGCACAATCTGAGTGTCTCTATCCATGCCAAATGTGACATGTAAATTTCTCCTCTGTGAGATAAATAAAGCAATCTTATCTTATCTTATTTGAATATTCTGGTATCACAATATGAATTGTAGCAAATTTTAGACTGACTCTACACTTATGTAGATATAAAAAGCATTCATTTAAAATTTTTTAGAACATGTCAATTTTTATTCAAGCAATTGTTATTTTATTTGCCTGATTTTTTTTTCATAATACATTGAATTGAAACCATTAAACGATTATCCTCCTATCAAGACAAAAGAAAGACGTGGTGCTTTCAGACCGGATCATGCGTTGCGTCGGTGATAATGCTGTTTCAACTACAGTTGAACCTGATGAAATCTCACACAACAAAGAGACAAAGTTAATCTTTTACTTGTTACATTGTACAAGGAGAATGTCTTGACAGAGGCAAGGCACAGACCCTAGCCTCTCTCAGGACAAGTCTGAAGATCCACAGATGGCAATTCCCTTTTGGTAGAGCAAGACACACCTTCGTATGCAGATGGGAAAGGAAGAAACCAACACAACAAAAGACACTTAGCATATGAGCTCCCCAGACCTCCCGGAGTTTTCCTGAAGCTAAAGTGAATTACAATACAGAGCATTCAGCATATAGCCACATATGATTTACCAAAATGATAACTTAAGTTACATTCCAATATCATTCCCTCCTTTTTATCCTTTTGATAAATCAAACAATATATGTTTAAACATGGAGAACATGGAGAACTGGAAATGAAAAAACACACATCCAAACTGAAAAAGAAAAAAAATGTTCATAGTATAATTTCACATTGTTGTTCCATAAACTATTCCCCCTATTGAGACATACTTGGCTCAAAACTGAACAATGTATTAACTAGAAATGTATTAACTTTGGTTATCAAATTCAACACCACGCACACGCCCAAAAGCCTGAAAACCCAAAGTCCATTTTCACAGTCCATAGTCCATTTGACACTTCCTCTCGACCCCTCCTCATGTTTGGCTATGACCAGAAATGTCCACTCTGTTCCTGTTTCGAAACTCTTCTCTGTCTGCGTTTCCGACGCAAGACTAGCAGCAAGCCGTTCTCCAACAACGACACAAAGCTGAACTTTCAAGTCGCAAATGTACCAAGATGTCACCTTCAATTCTCACGTCCATTTAACTTGAACAAACGGCCAGCTCCCTCCGTGGGCCTGCGCGCTTTGATCCTTGCAAATCGGCCCGTGATTATTCGTCAGCAGCTTCCGGTGGGGGGGGGGGGGGGGGGGGGGGGGGGATTTGTGGAGGGTCGTTTCGTAGGTGTCGATGGCTGTATGGAGATGGCGATGGGGGTGGGATATCTGTCCCACAATGGAAAATAGGTGGATTTTGTTGCTTTCAAGCTTTGGCAGGGATGTGGCATTTTTCTCAAAAACAAGAATCAAATTTGTTAAAACATTTCAGAATCAAAACATAAGGTGAAGGGTAATTCTAAACCAAGAAAACTTTGACAAAGGAAAACGAAGAGGACACGCAGAACAAAGAATGACACAGACAAACAAAGAAACACATGGCCAGAGGACAAAGGACCACATGGCCACCCAAAATGGCCGCCCTACACAATGCTTGCAATTTAACTATTTTTTAAGTCTTTTTACAATGTCCAATTCCAAATTTTGAGTAATTTAAAGGTCTTTAAACATCCAATTTCAATGTAGCTTATTTAGATGTCTATAAATGTCCAATTTCAGTTTAGAAGTAATGTAGAAGTTCAGTCCGAAGTAATTCAATTCTAACACATTCATTATACAGGCGTAACTCTGCGTTCTTTAATTCAAAATGAACCCCGTTCACTTTTAACTGCAGTAAAAAGTAGTCCCCGACTTACTCTTAATAATAACCCCGTTATTATACAGTCTATGATAGTCCCCGACTATCTAAAGATAAACCCCGTTATCCCGGCCTCGACTGTCTGCAATATAGTCCCCGACTATTTAAAAAGGATAATCCCCGTTATCCCAGGCCTTTTTTACCCTTTTGAATGAAACCCCGTTCATTCGAGCTCTGTAAAAGTCCTTGACTAAAGGCATAACTCTGCGTTTTCCTAAATCAATGTGTTCATGTGAACTTCACACTACTTCCTGGATTACTTTTGGACATAATTTAGTGTTTAGAACTTGCCTTTGTTGCAATTTCATCAGGAAAAAACTGTAGTTCTCCCGTCGACTCCAACCCAGGGCTGTCCTGCCTCAAACCTGGAGTTCCAATGCAGTTCCGAATGCAGAAGGCCTTGTAGTTGCTCCTGGAAGTCCATGTTTGAGACAAGCTCAGCTCCTGTAAGAAGTGTTGGGATCCGGCTCGAAGGACCAAGTGATAATGCTGTTTCAGCTACAGTTGAACCTGATGAAATCTCACACAACAAAGAGACAAAGTTAATCTTTTACTTGTTACATTATACAAGGAGAATGTCTTGACAGAGGCAAGGCACAGACCCCAGCCTCTCTCAGGACAAGTCTGAAGATCCACAGATGGCAATTCCCTTTTGGTAGAGCAAGACACACCTTCGTATGCAGATGGGAAAGGAAGAAACCAACACAACAAAAGACACTTAGCATATGAGCTCCCCAGACCTCCCGGAGTTTTCCTGAAGCTAAAGTGAATTACAATACAGAGCATTCAGCATATAGCCACATATGATTTACCAAAATGATAACTTAAGTTACATTCCAATATCAGTCGGGTTTCAATGCAAAGTCTATGGTGACACGCGTTCGACCATCGCAACGCACAGACCGCTCGGTTCGCACGAACGGACTGTTCAGTAGAGACGAGCAGGAGCGAAAAATCGACGCCCACAGGAGATGAATTCTGCTCTTCTTTTCCTTGGGACGTTCGTGCGACAACCAATCAGAGAGCTGCAAAGTGGTCACGGGGACATTAGCGGACTGAGCGAGCAGACTCAAAATACTCATAAACAGCCAAAACAGGACCCACACCAGACTTCACCAGAACTCAAACCAGGGTTGACAATGGGGGACTCTGTGCTTGTGAAAATATGCGTTGTCATGCTCCCGTGACCTTATGCAACTGCTTCAAGTGTGTTCCCCGATGCAGAAATTCCGTTGAATAATATGAAAAAACGTATGGCGCACCTCCGTGAACACATACTACTGTTGTACAAAGCCCGTGGAATGTCTGTG